TTTTCACATCAAGACTACTTATTATATCGACAATTTGATCATCCACGAGAAAGAAAATAGCAGCCCATAGGAACACTAAGAAACGCTCGGGAAGGATGGTCGATCTCTAAGAGTATCAAAAATGGATGAAGATGCCGAACTCTGTTGTAAAGTGTTTATGAGGCGGCCCAGCAACTCACCGTCTTTAGTCTGTGATGCAGCATTTGCAGCTTCTTTTGCCATGCCTATTTGAGCATAAGCATGTTTCATGCAAATACGTTTTTTTCATTAATATGGATACGATTTTAGCATCAACTCTATGGGATGCAGCTATTCGAGATATGAAAGGTTGTTGGGTTAGAGTAAAACCAGMAATTAATGTAACTGAAATCCCCATTTGATTGGTTTAAACATAAGTTGACAGCAGTTACCTTAAGGAGTGCCTTCGAGATAACATAAACACACATTATGTAACGTTACCTGACACATGTATGTGGACTCAAAGTCATTAATAGCGACAACTCCACAATGTATCTGTGAGGCTATCGCTTTGGCACGACGTTGACTGCTAGGAAAAATAGCACATCCAAGCCTATATTTTGAGTCATTTGCAAGCATGATAGCCTCCTCATCACTCCAAAAGCCTGTTCGGAATTACATCATCAGGAACTCAAATGTACTTCCTCTATTAAACCCATCAAAGCCATTCTTGGTGAAATMAAACTCAAATTAGTTGTTATCACTTACTTCCTCCTGCATCAACTTCATCTCGTGGTTTACGTTACAATAATGTTGAATTAATAAATAAGCTAGCAGAATCTCTCTTGCATAAATGTTGAAGCAACTCAAAATTTTTCCCGATCCGAATATGAGAAAAGTAACGAAATCGTACCAATATTACCAAAAAGCAACCATACAAAAGAGGTTGTTTATAGAAAAGTCAAGAACATGATTTTATTAGTTATCATGTCAAGGTTTCTAAAAGACTACAACATCGCATACCAGAGTTGATCATCGAACCCACCCTCTTCTTTTTCATGTAAAAATGAATGAGTAGAAACAAAAAAAATACCAACTCAAAACCAATCACTTTCATATCACATCTTTAATTGCGTTTAACATACTCTCTGAAAATTCAGACGATACCTTCCCGCTTCCGTTATTTCTCTTTTGCCTTCTCCAGCAAACGAGCAACATATTCCTTAAAGGTCTCATGAGCAAGGCTCTCATCACCAACAGCTCTATTCCATGTCAAGAAAAGAGAAAAAAAACTGATGCAGCTCAACTGGAACATTCGTTTCAAATAACAAATATGGGAAGCCTCATCAAATACCATACCTGTATTTGGAGCTTTCCTCAAAAAGTTGTTGGCACTCCTCCCATGTGGAAGACGCAGTAATTTCCTGAGTTCAAGCACCAAAAAGTGAAGGTAAAATGATCTACATAAGCTCTTTTGGACATGTAGTATATCATTAAGGTTTGCCAATGATACAGGCTTCATGTACCTTGATGTCATATAATAACTCGGTGAACTCTTTGGCAAGACGCTGACACTTTTTAGCTTCCTTCTCTTCTTTCTCCTTGGCCCTCTCAAGTAGGTCTTCAAACACAAGCTGGAAAGAAGTAAAACATTGCAAGACTCAGAAGACACTTAGTGGCCGTTTACCAAACACTTACCCACTAAGTGCTTACCGATAAAATTTAACACTATTATTTACTTACCGGGTAAGATTTTAGTCCACAAAAACGACAACTTATGCAACAATTTACTCGGTAAGCGCTTATTCTGGTAAGAGTCGTCGCCCTCATTTACTTGTTAAGACTCTTAGTCCTTGTCTCACTCTTACCGGGTAAGATTTATTGGTCCTTACCATATTCATCCGGTGAGGTAATGTTACTTGGTAAGCGCTTACCCAGGTAAGCGTTTGGTAAATAGCCCCTAAACAAAAAGCTTTAGACAACACTTACGTATATTTATGAAAGGYATCACTACCTGTTAAATCGAGTGGAAAACAAACCTAAATCGATTGCAACATATTTGGAGTAGAGATTTTGTGGTGTAGGGTTTATCAGTTTTCATTTGGATCGATTGCAACAGATAAAGAACAACAGATAGAAATTACCTCGATTGGATTAGTGATGGATCGACAATGCAACAAGGGCAACGAATCGGTTGAGCGATATCAATAAGAACCCAAACCTATTTCTAATCATATTTGAGCGTGTTGCGTAGAGGAGCTTGAATCGCAATTTTGGGGAATGAAATCGTCGCTTTGGGAAGGAAGCCACCAGAGCATGTTGAAGCAATAATTTGTGCTAGGAAGCGTGCTGGAAGGAAGCAAGAGCTATAATTTGTGTCTTGTACATCATGCTTCTAAATATTGTGCTTTAAAAAACAGTACTATATGTAATAAAAGTTGTTTTTAAGACTTTAAGACAATTATCAAATTTGGTTTATAAGATAATATAGATATAGATATAGAAGATATAGATATAGATACCAACTACATCAGTAACATCAATGCTCTTAGTGCCTTTCAGCTCCAAGTTCCACTATAAGCAAATGGCTTCAAGGTGAGTGATCCAACAGGACAAATATCATGAGCTTTATAAACATAGGTGCCAATTTCTTCTCTGTTTCTACACCCCAACATGCCAAAATCTTGCATTCCCACTATTTCATTTGCAAACCTGACATCTGGACAACAAAACTCAAGTATATTAGCAGCTTGAATTGAAGCAGAACAGTAGCTACCAACTAAAAAAAATGCATCATAACATCCAATACATAATACATAAAGAAGGTTGGATGTAGATGGAAGCTCTCATGTTATTATAGAAATTTAGTGATAAAAAGAAGAGGCGGAAAGTGTCAGTTATTGATAAAAAAATACAGAGTAACTTACGTGAGTATAGAGATTATACCTAAAACTACTGTCATAATTTAAAGCTACATAACACAAGTTGTAAGAGGTCAAGAAATAGGTAATAATGTGTTGATAAATACCAATATTTGCAAACCCAGAAAAGAGAACGCTAAAGCCAAACCGATTAGTGATGATAACTTGGTCCCAAACCTTTGAACCTCTTGATCAGGGATCCTTGAAAACTTGTCGGAAAACTTAAACAAAAGGCACACATATAACTATAAAGTCAAAAGATCCAAACCAAATATTCATTCAACTGAAAGTAAATAAACAGGTATGCTTTTTATGGTCAAGACGGAAAAAAGCACAAAAAGCTAAAACTCAAATTCATTAGCAACTCAACCATTTGTCTGGTAAGGTAAAAATTCACTAACTCCTTGAGAAATCGATCAAAATTGGTGCTTATAAAAATTGCATCTTAGTTCGAAATGAAGCTGGAAACTCTGAAGTAGTGCAGATCCTAAAAGAAAACAGAATCGATCAAGAGCCGGTGAGAAATAAATAAACATGAAAGTACAAAAGGAAATCGATCAAGAACCTGTGAGAAATCATCAAAAGGAAACTAAATAAAAGGAAATCAAACCCTAAATCAGCTCTCATCAACATGAAACCACAAAACATTGTACATGAATCGAGAGAGTAAGAAAATGGAGGTATAAATCGAGGAGAGCCAGAAAAAAAAACCTTGCAATCGAGCATGATCGTGGTCTTGAAAACCTGCAATCGAGCGTGTGGAAGGGTTTATGCATCAGCTCTTATCAACATGAAACCTGCAATCGAGAGTGTGCGGAATTGGAGGTATGAATCGAGAGGACCCAGAACTAAAACCTTGCAATCGAGTGTGTTGGAGGCTTTAATCGTCGTCTTGGAAAGGGTTTATGCATAATATGGTAGTACCTTAGGTTTTTAAACCGATGAAATCTAATCWKGAATGAAATCGGATAGAGATCGTTTAGGGAGGAAATTGGATTTCTGTTGGGAATAGGATAGAGATATATAATTTAATTTAAGTTTAATAATAAAATAATTTATTTTTGGTTTAATATTATAAATTTTATAAAAATAATAATTAAGTATTTTGTTAGAAATCAATAATTATCTTAATTATATTTTAGATTTTTTATATTTAAAATGAGATGTTTATCTTGTATTTGATTGTGTTTATCTGCAGTTAGTTACATGAATTCAGATATGGGATTAAATCGGATAGGGATGAACGGGTTTAAGAGTTTTTAAGAGTTTAAGAGTTTTAAGAGTTTTTAAGAGTTTTAGCCAAATGCATTATAATATAGTATAGATTATATACAAATCATTTATTTATTAAGAATTATGGTTTTTTTAGCAACAAAATAAGTGATATTTTGGTAAACCTTGTAAAGAAGTGACTAAAAGGTGAAATAAACAGATAAAATGACTATTTTAATTAATTTCTCTTAAAAATATCAAAGCAATTTAACATGATTAGGAGCTGACGTTTACCAGTAAGAATCAACACTTTTATTTAATTTACCGGGTAATATTTTAGTCCATTAAACGACGTTATATGTAATAGTTTTATTCGATAAGTGCTTACTGGTAGAGTTGTCACTCCCATTAACTAGGTAAGACTCTCGGTCCTTGTTATTAATCTTACCATGCAAGATTCTCAATTTTTTCCATGTTCATATGATAAGGTAAAATGACACAGTAAACAATTACGAGTAAACGTTTAATAAACGACCCATTAATTACATAAAGACATGAATGACTACATACTTCCTTTTTATTGACGAATTGTATTAATTTTTCATTTTCAGTTTACAATAAAATTTTGTATTTCGTTGCATTTCATGAGTATACAATTAACGTGTACAATTGCATTTCACAATTTGTGTGTGTAGCGGGAGGTTCATATAAGAAAACCAAATTCATGAGATGATTCATAAAAATTCATTTAAAGATGCATATGTAAACCTATATGAATAATCTGCAATGTTGGTTCACATATGCTATCTTGAAATAGATTCTTTTAATGAACCCACATATGAACTTTATATCAACCTTCTATTATTTCATTCTCAGGATATTTATCCTTTTTATTTGAACCTACCAGTGTTTGTGTGTGTGTGTCTATATAGATGAATATTAATAAATCCTATTACCTTCAATCGACATAAACCCCAATGTCGAATCCCTTCAGGGACGACATGAAATGCCATCAGTTTCTTGAGGCCTCCATCTTCAGTTAAACCTATAACAATAACAGTAATAATAACAATAACAAGACGTTGATAATTTGTTCTCCCCTAATAAGCTTCTAACAAAGACTCCAAACACATGTTGTACAAAGGGTATTGCATTGCATGCATGGTGAATATTAGAAGCCCTTGAGGGAGAGCAAGCAATCAAATGCCTTGGAAAAAACCCTAAAAAGTCTCTCATTCCATTGGTGTCATGAGACTTTGATATAAAGCTTATTGGACAACAACCCTTTTTATAACCCCATTTGATTGCCAAAGTGATACAAGACACAAAACAAATCCAATTTGGTGGGATTCCACATTCTTTGGCATATTGCATTTAGTGGCACCAATAAATCTTGATAAAGCACCAAAAAGATAGATTTGTGCTACTAAAAGCATATGTGCCCACAAATCATCAATCCACAAATAAGCATGTGTACCATATTTTATTCCATTATTGCATATATATATATATATATATATATATATATATATATATATATACTAGAAGAGGTACTCATGTAATACATCGAGACACATCTCGATTTTAATGTTCTATTTTATTATTTGTCTCTGTCGATATTATAATACGATTTTATGTGTTTTTAAGAAAGTAATAATGAATTTATTTTTGAATAAAATATAAATTTGAAGATATCATAAAAATTTGAAAAAAATATATCAATGTTAATATTAAATCAACTATTTAAAAGTTCTCATTTTTTATGTAATTTCTTTAATTTATTTTTCTATTATAATTTAATTTAAGTTTAATAATGAAATAATTTATTTTTGGTTTAATAATCTAATTTTATAAAGATAATAATTGAGTTCTAAAGTATTCTGTTATAACTCAATAATTATCCTAATTATATTTTAGATTTTTTATATTTAAAATGAGATGTTTATCTTGTATTTGATTATGTTTATCTGCAACTAGTTACACGAATTCAGATATGGAGCTTTAATAAGTTGTACTTACGCACAATCTACTTGTAACCTTGAGTTTTAAGTAATATGCATTAATAAACAATACTTTACGCATAAAAAGTGGTTTTTAAGAGTTTTTGTCAAATGCTTTATAATATAGTGTGTATATATATATTAACCTGGATATCCAACCTGCTATGCAAGTCGACTAATCACAGAGCGACCACCTGCTTTGCAAATAACCCGGAGTCACCGCATTTGAACCTCCGTGGCCACAAGGGGATTTTTATTGCTTCTTAGATTTGAACATGTGACCTCCGGTACTTTGGACCTTTGGAGCCAAGCTCAAACCAATCAAACACCACCCTTATGGTTTACCATTATTGCATATTTAGATATAATCATATGTAAATCTTTATTATAAACTGCAAAATTAATGTAATTTTTCTTAGAAAAGAATTTAAAACTTGTGCATGAAAAAAATGGAATTATAATCATTTGTAATCATATAAATATTTGTATGTGAGTGGATAAGTATGTTAATTTTTAATTTTGAAAGACAACCATCAATAAAAAGAACAGCCGAGTTCACCAAAAACAGAACGAACAAACAAAAGTACACCCATCTTCTACAAGACATAAAAAGGAGGGAATCAACAAAACTCAAAGCAAACAAAAACCCCACACGTGGGGCTACCGAAACAACAAAAAGGAAAGTAAAAAGAGTCTAAAACGACCAAAAAGAAACGACTAACCTGGAGAAGACGGATTACAACACCCAAAAAGCCAAGACCTACCAAAATCTTTGATAAAACCCATATAGCTTCCAGTCATAACTCTTAAAGAATCAGTAATTTATACCTGATGATTCATAGATGTTGTAGATTTTATCTAAATGCTCTATAACATAGTATAAAACTATAAGTATATAATTATATGTTTATGAGTACAAAGTCTTGTAGGTTGTGCCGTACCATTATTTGGTATCAAAAGTAGGGATACAGAAAAGAGTGAAGAAAAAAAATATAATTTTGAGATATGGGTATTTTTTTTTTGGGAAAGGGGACGGACCCCAGAAAAACTTTATTGAGATATGGGTATTTGTCGCATATGGAAAGTTGAAATGAAGAAAATTGAATAACCTAATAGTCGGTAAGAAACTAGAGCTTTAGACTATAAAACATGTTGGCAGGAACAATGTGAACGATGTGATTAACGACGTGATTAAGTGGCTTTATCTTGATTAAAGTTTTAAAAAAAGACACATGATCGTCTTTGTGGTGATGGTGACTGCTTATTGCGTGTTGGACATGTCTTATTTTTACTAGGTTGTACGAAAAACGACTAATCTCTCCTAATACATGTCATTTTTCCATACTCTGTTCATGGACCACAAATCATTTAGTTTTAAATAATGAAAAGAAAAAGAAAAATGGAAACTTGAAGAAGTTCCACTACCAAGAATGTTGATGACCCTTGAGATAAATGACTAGTCAATAGACTTTTGATCACAACAAAAGGAATCACAACCATTTTTCACTTTCTTTGCATAAAAAACCATATCTACAACCATAAGGGTGGTGTCTGATTGGTTTGAGCTTGACTCAAAAGGTTAAAAGTAACAGGAGGTCTCAGATTCAAATCCAAGAAGGAATAAAATCCCCTTGTGGCCACGGAAGTTCAAATACGGTGACTCCGGGCTATCTACAAAGCAGGTGGTCGCACTGTGCTATTTGATAATTGGTTTTGTTGCAGCTAGTAACAAACCATTAATCGATAATCAAATGATAATAGGCAACAAGTCACACAAAACCTAGCAACGGATATTGTGTTTTCAAGACTTAATAATCAGATAAGCATGTGTGAGAATAAAACATTTTGGCATATTTGACATTCTCTCTTATTTGTTTTCGATCCTCGTTTGAATGGTGATGGTATCTTACTATCTTGCGTATTTGACATTCGTCCCATTTTGTCAACATCTATTTCGGAATAAAAGAAAGCTGAACCTGATCTCTTGTTTGCTCTTTCCTTTTTCTTAATGGTTGTTTGTTTACCTCTTAATAGTTCCATTAAGAGAAAACATCTGAATCGTTAAGAGGTGAATAATGTTTGACCAAAAAAAAGTCTGTCTCTTAATGGTTCCAAAACTCTCTGAATGATTTTGTATCATGGGTCTCTCTTAACCATTAAGTGTCGAATTTCATTGTAAAAAATTACCAAACAATTATATTTCATTTTAGAATATACCATGAGAACCTCTTAATCATTCTTATCACTTAATCATTCTGTACTAAATCATTCAACAACTGACAAATAACCCCTTATTGTATTTTTCATGTCAAATTTATGCATTGGAATTTAAATTTACATTGCTTAAGGAACAATATATAAGGATTCCTCCAAGGTTCAAAAAAATATGTAATTAGACCATAAAATTATAAAAATATCAAAGGACACCCACCTTTTAATTTAGGCGTTGTTTGGTTTGTTTTCCATTAAGACCTGTACTGATAAAAGTGTCTGTGTGATAACAGATAATATGTTGTTCGGTTATTATGCTAAACTAACACTCTAAATATCAGAAATGACCATTTTATCCCTCAGTTTATATTTCTATCCAAAAAATAATTGTTTGATATAAATGTTAAATAAATAACC